ATAATTTTGGGTACCAAACTGTAATTTACCAAAATTTGTAGTAAGTGACCAGAAAATTAAAAATTGAAATTGAAAATCATAAAATACAAAATACAAAATACAAACAAATTACAAATGACTATCCAAACAATGAATTTGAATTACATGTATTTCAAATGCTAATATTTCGAATACATCCATTTCAAATGCTAGTATTTCAAATACCTTACATTTAAAATACACTTATCCAAACGCACCTTTAATTCATTTTTAATAATAATTATTATTTAATAAATTTGCGGGAAAAATATTTTAGGGCCACATTTTTTAATTTATGAATAGGGCGATCGAATATCATGGGTCGGCCCTGCTTATAACATAAAGTGATTGAGTCAGGCTCAAGTGATTTGAACTCGCTCAACAATCAGAATACGCAGCACTCCAATTTTGAGGGGTTTCTTAAAAAACACGAAAACAAGTAAAGATAGCGGGGAGACAGTAAAAAATCTAGAACCTGTGGGAAAAGCCAATCGGTATAGTCATCGCTAGCCACAACCAGATGTGATCGTCTGGTTGATAAGAGCCTCATACAATCCTCAGGAATCCTCGACGGAGAGTTGGCACAACCGTTCAATATTTGAACTAAAAAATCTTTCGATTTATTTGATGAATAATACTTGGTTGAAGGTTTCATACAACAGTCCTCACCTCTTTATATAGGAGTAGCAAAGTAACCCTAAAAACGAATGCAAGACGACACTAAAACACTAAATAGCAAGTCCAAAACGTAAATACGAAAACGCAACAGCAATGCCGCGCCCAATCCCCGCTCACGCTCTCCCTATTCCCCAATCGGGGATCGGGGTGCTCACGATCGGTGGTCCTTCTGGACGTGATCCCCGATCGAGTTACCACACCCCCGATCGGGGATTATCCCAAGTTGGCCGGGATTTGATGCCTTCATCCCATCTCGGACTCTGACCATGCCTCGACCCACAGCAGCTCCAGCTCCTTCGTCGATCATCTCTTGGTCAAATATGCCCTCCATTTTACCTTCTCGAGCCTCTAGAGCCTTCAGATTCGAACCACGGAAGTTATATCCTTCAAATTTGAGGGATGTCATGTGAGGTGATTCGGGTCGCATCGTAACAGACATAGAATACAATTTAGAATTGAATCTATCACTAATTATAAGCAATTTCAAATGCATATCATCGGGAAAAATGCATATCAAATATCAGTAAAAGTTCTAACAAAACATCCAAAATACCTCACAATAGAAATCATAAATGCTTATTGAATTCAAGTTAGTAATTAAGGTGTTAATCGATAGTTGTCTAATAAAATTCACATATTGATTCAGGCTCAAATGTACACATTTTACCCCTCATTTCTTATTCGTTTAGCTTAGTATTTCATCATTCCTTGACATATTTCACGCTAGGTTGTGCTTGTTTTTGATACATTTCAGGTCCTAGCACGTGTGAAAGGGTCGAGGACGAGTTTTGGGATGTTTGGAGGTCAAAAAGCGCAAAAACCGAAGAAAAGTCCGAAGACCATGACAATTGCCTCGTAGCAGGGAAGTGAAGGCGTCCCAGGAAACAACCGCATTTCACGGTCGGACAAGGCAGTTCACGGTCTCCTAAGACCGTGAACATGGACCACAAACCGTGAACATCGAGCAGTTCGGCGAGGTTCCAGAAGTTACTAACGACAAGGCAGTTCACGGTCTCTAAGACCGTGAACTGGGGCCATTGACCGTGAACCCACCAGAATGAAGCGGCGCGTTTAGGGACGACACTGAGTTCACGGACGCGTTTAGGTGTTCACAACCGTGAACTAGCCAACGCGTCCGTGAACTGATCGCTTTCGGGCAAATATGAAGACAGCAGCGGGGAGAGAGAAAGGAGAGCTGGTTTTGGAGAAGAAACACTTTCTTTCTCTAGGGTTTCAACCTAAACACCAAAGGGGAGTTCTAGTGTGTGTGTGTGTGTGTGTGTGTGTGTGAGAGAGAGAGAGAGAGAGAGAGAGAGAGAGAGAGAGTGAGTGCTAGAGTGATCTTGGAGCATCATTGGAGGCTTGGGTGGAAGATTCAAGCCTAGAAGAAGAAGAAGATCTTGAGCTCAAATTTGTAATCCCTCTCTCTCTAGAAACTCACTCTTTTCTCTTGGGTGTTGTAGATCCCTAAGTAATATTTTGTAATTACTTGTTTAGATTGAATGATTGTCATTGGGTAGTGTTTAATTCAAGGATTGAGGTATTATTCATGTTGATTGTGCATGCTCGTGCTTAGCAATCTAAAGGTTGTGCATGTTTTGTGCTTAGCATCCATAGGTTTGTGCATTGTGGTGCTTAGCAACCTAAGGATTGTGCATAATTGTGCTTAGCACCCTTAGGTTTGTGCATGTTGGTGCTAGCAATCTAATTAGCCACTTTAACCTAGGTTAATTTAGGACAAACCTCAATGTTGAATTAAGAAAATTGGTTAAGCGTGATTAAGCCGTCAAACCTTGAGTTGAGTGAGGGAGTAAGTCAACTACCGATTGTCTAAACTAAGAGGGTCGAGTGACGCGGCCTTTCATGCTTACCTCGGTATAGCAATTGAGATTGTGGTCTTCGACCACATATGCATCCCTCTGCGGTACGCGGTTACCTGTTTGCATCTAGGTTGGTGTGATTAAGCTGCTCAAACTCCGGTTTGAGGGAGAGACCTAGGCAACCACTAGAGCTTGAGTGAATGGATCAATCTCCTGACAAATCGATCGCTCGTGAATTGATGCCGTGACATATTGATCACTAGTTGCTCACCCCGAGGTTCACAACCACCTACGCCTCACGACTTCATTCAATCCAACAAGTCATGGTAGCTAGTTAGGGGGAAGCAATTCCTCGGTGAAGCTCCCCTAGTAATGATTTTCCTTTATTTACTTTTCTTTGTTTGTTTAATTTGTAGTTTCATTAGCTCTAAACCCAAAAGTTGTTTGCTAGGTAACAACCTAAGCAATTGAAGTAGGGGTACATGAATCGGCCCGGGTTGACAATTTAAATACTTGCTCTATACTGCACCCGACTAGAGTTTAAAAACTTGGGCTCTAGTCGGGATCAATTTGTGGTGTAGTTTCGTGCGAGTCACATATAAGGATGGAAAATGAAGAAGAGAAAATATAAATAATATATGTAATCATTGATGATATCCATGGTTTGATGGCAAGCTTTTGAGAAGAAGAATTCACTAAAAACAACGAGAAAAACAATGTGTGCAAAGGAAGTACCGGTTTTCTTTGACCTCACAATCTTCGATTATGCCATTCTTACAAAACAACTGTGGAATCTGCGCTATAACCCAAACTCTCTTATAACAACTAGTTTTGTGCTAACCCGATGGGCGGCGAGTATTATTTGTTTGTACTTTTTTTTATTATTTGTCATTTTCCAATGGTATAAGATTCCTACTTTTCATATTTATTTATTATTGTTATCTATTATTCATGTTTCGCCTGATATGAGGGGCGCTACATTTAATCCAGGTTTTAATCATGATAAACAATTATGTCAAATAAATTTTTTTATTTGAAATAATTGTTTATCATGATTAAAACCTGGATTAAATGTAGCGCCCCTCATTGTAACTTCAGCACCACTTGGAAAATAGTATTCATGACCATTTGATCTTTGATTGGCCAACAATTTTTAACTTCATAAGTTGTACATGGTTTAACCTAGCCTACGCCACCTTATCGTACTCCTATTGAATTTTGCTATTTAGACGATGAATTAACGGAGTTTGGGACATGATACTATACCATATTCCCTAATGGGTGAACCCCAGTCACCAATTATATAATCCAAATCGTACGATTCAGTTAATGAATAAATAATAATAAACAATTCTTATTTGTCAAAATATATTAAAGTACAACTAAATGTGAACGAAGGTGTATATTACACCTCGATCGAGTGTATGCTAGCCTTTGCCACCATTATTAAATTACAACCAAACTATTATGCTATGGTTCGATTTCAAGAAATGTGGGACTTGAGCGAATCGGTCGCTTGCGTTGTCAACATCCCGACTATGAATTGACCGCTCAGCCATATGGAACACCATTGCATAGAGATCTCTTCAAATATTCCATTAATGGGTCTCCATCCACAAAGTCACAGTTGGAGAAACAATCTTCAAGCATGCTGCCACCTCAAACTCGGGCTCATTGTCGACCATGTAGAAAACATAACTCAAATGACCTTGTGCTTACCAAAATGTTTATTCTCATTCATGGGGTTGCGCCAAGTACATAGGGCACGAAAAAATGTGATTCACATACCCAATGGACAAAAATCTTAGTTGGTTCAGTATGTCGTGTCAAATGAGATTGAGTTGCCAAAAAATTCGTAATCTTCTCACATCCTCTTATATGCCCGAAATATATTGGCAACTTGCTCCTTGCTATGTACCTCAATTACACAGAAGAATCTGAGATACTTGGTCATTTTCTCCTGAAAGTACTCAAGCAAGTATGTAGCTTCTCCATGATACATCTTTTTTGCATTTTCTTGTTCAAGTGGTTCTTCTTATCCGATCTTATAAGAGACATATTTTCATAACCACCAGCATACATGGCCAATATATGATGCGAAGACTTGAGACTGATACCTGCATCCCAATTTGCGTTGGCCATCAGTTCTTGAGCTTTGTTCACGCACCTGTTGGACTTGATTAGATGCCTATGCTTATTGGAGTGCAAACCATGATTGTGGCTGCTTTGAATTTTGACACCACAATCCCTCCCTATGGGCATCCCATCGAAAATGAACAATCGCATTGCATCCAACCCTAACTTCAGGGCTCCTTCTTTTAGGATGCCTTTTCTCCACAACTTTGTCATCGGGTTGTTTCTCCACATTTGCTTCACTAGTTTCAGAAAACTCGTCCCTGTTGCAACCATAATATAAGTAGAAATATAGTTCCTCTGCCTCTCCTTTTGAATTCTTCTTTTTCTTGTGGTGTTGGGCATCTATTCAAGTACCAAACTCTTTCTCGTGAGCATAGCATGCATAAAAATAGTAACAATCTTCCTTATTGCGAATGAAATGTTCCTCGTTCTACAAAAAAATGTTTTCCTGCGCTTCCTCGTCCTCCAGGTCCCAAGTATTATGAGCTGTGAGGTTAAAGCATGATCGAATCTTATAAGACAGTTGGACATGTATTCAAAAGCGTCCAATAAGTATTCAAAATAGCCCAACAGGTATCCAATTTCACGAACAAGTTTTCGACACTCTTATTAACTCATATTCAAAAGTGTCTTAACAAATAGTAAAAAATGTCCAACTAGTATTCAATGCTCTCCAAGAAATATTCATAAATGTCCAACGTGCACTCATAAACAATGAACTAACTCGAATCCATTAGTGTCTATCACGTATCCAAACTGGTTGAACTAATATCCAATATGCATTCGACTCAGACAAATGATACACACGACATCCAACCAAAAGTAGACTAACTCGTATTCGTCACTGTCGAACATGTATTCACTGACGTAGAAAGAGTATTAAAAAACATCAAAAAAATATTACACACGTACACAAACATAATTAAATTCCATTCAATGCTTCCAACCAGACTCAACAACACAAACATATATATAAGCTTCACCTTCGCCATCGAACATACATCCTTCCAAACCACTCAAAACAGCTAATAACTCATCAAAAGAGTCTTGTGTTGGAGGATCTACAAAAGCTTGTGCTGGATCTACAACAGATTCCTTTTGAAGGTCGAATGAGTCTTTCTCTCCGATGTTTTCCATGCTACCATAGCCATTGCGAGTGACGGGTCTCTTTCTTCCCCGAGTCTCATCGCGCATGATGACAAACAGAGAAGATTGCTATCGTAGTCAATCATCACCCTGGAAGGCGACGATCGAAGATGAGAAGATAATGGGAGCTTTTGCTTGGAAGAGAGAGAGAGAGAGGGGGAAACGAGAGAGAAGGCTTGAGAGAGAAAGTAGGTGGGTGGCATTAAATGCCCACAACTTCTCTCCCAGCTAAAAATTGACGAAATCTTTCCAGAACAAGCGACCTAGGCCCTTTTTTCCTTCGATAGCTTGGCTCTCGGCTTAAGACCACAAGATTCTCACTTATGTTAGCCCTTCCCTCTCCATTCAATCTCAACCCTCCATTCACAGCTCAGCTGACATGGCCTCTCATCCACCTGTGTGAGCAACTACTCACAAAAATTGTTGTGAGCAATATAACAAAATTGAAGGGTTTCTGGGGCAAATCGAGCTTCACAAATCTGGATTGAGAAGTTAATGGTCAAGAGATGTGATGATTCTCACTGAAGAGGAAGCATGGAGGGATATAAGAAAAACATAGCAAGTGAAATCAATTTTCGAGGAACTCTAACGAATCGATGAACAAAGGAACTGAAATGGGAAAGAGGAGGCAAGGAAACTAGGTTAAGAACTCAAGATGCTTCGCACTCTTTAAACTCGTAAAGCAGAAGAAACGATTAATAACATAGAGATCTCTGCAAATCATTGATCGGACAAGGAAGTCTCATAAATTTGGATTTGAACCCTAATTTATGAATTTTTATTTATTTAAAATTGAAATATGACGTGGTTCCGTGGCTGGCATATAGCATAATGTGGCGAGTTAAAGCTGATTCGAAAGATGAGGAGGTCTAAGGTGGTATCCACATCAACATAATGTCTACGTTGTTAATTATTTTTACAAAAATGGCTAAGTTTATCAAATTAGTGCATATTTAGTATAATGTATTTTGCCAGCTTTAAAATCCAGCTCTAATTTCAGTTCAGTTTGTTGGGCCGGCTCGTTGTGCAGTGGCGGGCGGCTCTGGTCCGCAGGAGGTAAACGAGAGAGAGCGCCTCAGCAGCATAGCAGGCCCGCTGCTCCTGGAAAAGAAAAAGGGACCCTTATCCAGTGTTTTATCATCTTCTTCACCAAAATACACACACTGAAACCTCTCCGTCCTCTCTCGTCTTCACTTCTTTGTACTCTGCTTTCCCACTCCCCCAAGCTTCCGATACACCACATTCTCTGTTGCCTTTCTCGTCGTCTCCTATTTTGCTTCGCCGATGTTTAGCGCAGTGATTAACAGCGGAAGGCTGCTGAAAGACTTCAACTTTTAATTGATGAATGAAAGGGAAGAAGCCAGGACCAATTTTGGGTTTTTACTATGTCTTGTCTCTTGCCGCCGTTCAAGTGCCCACCAGGATTAGATAACAGCACCTTCTCCTTCCACTCCAGACCTCTCCTCCATCACCACCACCACCATCATGGTATTTCTAAATTTCATCTCCTTTACATGCCTCTGTTCTCTTTCCGCATTTCCGATTGTTTGGAATTCAACCACACTTCTACCGGCTCTTGTTTTCACAATACTGGAAACGGGTTTGATTGATCTGGTAAAGCAATGTGGATAAGGTTCTTGTTTCAATGGGTTTGTGATTGGGTTTTCATTTTCTTTCTGGGAAGGCAATCCAGTTCTGTGCTTGTTTCAGTAGTAGTGACATTTCTCATGATTCTTTTCCTGCTGGGGTTTTTCTTATTGAATTATCGAATTGTGATGGTTTGGTTTGGTTTGGGTTGTAGACCCTCTTTAGAGTTTTGATGGTTTCCCTTTTGATGGTTATCCAGCAAAGGATTTGTTTTTCCGAGCACAATGCGCTTTATCAACAACTACTTCCCCATCTGCTGCTGTGCTTGAATTGGAGAAATTGAGACTGTCTTCGTTAGAACCTCATTTGAATTCGGTTGCAGCTAACAAAACATGGACATATACGGGGGCAGTCGGTCCACCTAAAGAGGTGAGCTTTCGTTCTTTTGATTCATACAGATTCTTCAGTGGCTTTCTCACCCTCATATTTGTCTAGTTTCCCATCAGAGAATGGTGGAACTTTTCTTACCGGTAGGAGGTCATCTGTAGCAAGTTGCATATAGTGATTAGAATGGAACAGTAACTCTCTATACAAGTTTTGAATCACCAAGTTTTTTAAACCTTTGGCTGTTCTTTGAGGTTGAATTGTGGTGGCTTAACAAAAGTGAGTATAAGAACAAGCAGTATCGCAAGAGAACTGTTGCATAATATTTGCAATATCGAGCTTTATTCTAGAACTTATGAATGAGAGAAATGAGCATCTGAAGAATTATGCACCGGCATGTACCAGATTTGCTAGTTTTATGATTTTCAAATTTTAATTTGTGTATGTGGGTTGGACTGGTGTAGTATCTTTTCATAGTACGTGTACGTTGCTAAGAAAAAAAATCTCATCATCATTTTATTTTCATGTAAGTTTCTCTGGGATTTGGTTTTTCCACTACAATCAGCTGCATTACTGAACTGGTTAATGTTGGATGCTTGCATAGGAAACCTTCCAAGCAACTGTAGCTACAGAAACACTTATTACTAGCGATGAAGCAGTCATTTCAGCAGCAGCTGCTGAAGCAGTTGCTCTTGCCAGAGCAGCTGTCAAGGTTGCCAAGGATGCTGCGGCCTTGATTAACAGCCAGTACTCCATGAAAGCAGAATCCAAGACAGCAAACACTTACACTTTCTCATCAATTCGGTCCCAACTCACTGAAGCAGAACGAGCCGACATATTAGGAGTTGATGCGAATGGAGAAGCCAGCCAATCCACTGAGGACACTTCTATCAAGGAGGAATCCGAGTGTTTGGAGCCAACACTTGCAGAACTTTCCGTTCTAGAGGAAGAGCTTTCGGAAGATATAGCTGTGAGATCAACAAAGCAAAACGAAAGGAAAGGGAGACGAGCTAGAGCAGCTGAGAAGGTTTCTTCTGCAGCAAATGTTTCTACAAAATCTATTCCAACGAATAGAAGAAAGCGTGGTTCTATACAAGAAGTAGACCATTCTGACCCTTTGCGTTATTTGAGATCTACCACTAGCACTTCGAGGCTTCTTACTTCTGCTGAAGAGTTGGAATTTTCAGAAGGGATACAGGTTAGACTGCAGATTCTCTCCATTTTCTATTACTGAAAGGAAAAATGCTGTTGTTAGTTGTCTAATTAGGGCATGGGAGACGGCAAGGTGCAGGTAGACTGTTGGTGCATTGGTTATATTTTAGATGTTTATTTTCTCTTCTGCCCTATGTTTTAGAAGGTGTGGAAGGGATAAGGTGAAAATAGTGCTCTGGAAGGAAAAAAGGGAGAGGGTGAAAATGAGGTTCCTAAAAAGAAAAGAAAATTACTGTTTAAACTTTCCCATCTAATACATTCAAAAGAAAGTGATTTTCATCCAATTTTGGATGATCACTAAATAGTACATTTTCGCATGATGTCATCCTCTTACTGTTATGAATTTCTAGAGCATGGTAAGTTCTCTTGGAATTCTAGTTTCACCTGCAATAATCACCCTCCTCTATTTTCATCTTTTCTGGAACATAAGGGATAATCGTATTTGGCTCAGGGCATCTTGATATGTGTCCTTACGGATCTAAAGCCTACCATCTTTCACGAAACCTGTGAACTTCTTACTTACATTACTCTGTAGGGTTATAAAATTATCACGTGTGTTTGGTAATGAATAGGACCTACTTAAAATCGAACGGCTTCACAAGGAGCTTGTGGAGAGATATGGAGGCGAGCCAACATTTGTACAATGGGCTGCTGCGGCAGGGGTAGATCAGAAGACCTTGAGGAGGCGCTTAAACCATGGGACTATTTGCAAGGATAAGATGATAAAATCAAACATAAGGCTCGTCATTTCCATCGCCAAAAATTATCAAGGGTCTGGAATGAATCTACAAGATCTTGTTCAGGTATGCACATTTTTGCCACTGAAGCGTGACATCACTTAAGAAAGAAAAAAGGAGCAAGTACTTTCATGACTGATAGCTTCAGTTAAATTAATTCTACCAGCTGAGGTTTGATTCTTGTCCTAACAGGAAGGTTGCAGAGGCCTTGTAAGGGGTGCAGAGAAATTTGATGCTTCAAAGGGCTTCAAATTCTCAACTTATGCTCATTGGTGGATTAAACAGGCAGTTCGCAAGTCTCTCTCCGATCAATCGAGGACAATTCGCTTACCTGTAGGCTTCACCTACCTTTTGCAATCTCAGTAGTCTGTTTATGCCTTCTGCCAACTAATTTCAGACCTCTCTTGTTACGAAATAAACATTGACCAGTTTCACATGGTTGAGGCGTCCTACAAAGTGAAGGAGGCAAGGAGGGTATTGTACAGTGAAAACGGAAGGCAGCCGAACAATGAAGAAGTTGCAGAGGCAGCTGGGCTTTCCATGAAAAGGCTTGAAGCTGTTCTGCTGACACCAAAAGCTCCAAGATCTCTCGACCAGAAGATGGGTGTCAACATGGACCTCAAACCTTCGGTAACTCACTCTCACTCCGGTTATATAATCTTAAACTCATTTTAAGTCTCCCAAACTTCGGCCCTTCTATAGAAGCCTGAATGGTTTGGTTCTTTCATGCTCTGATTGCTGCAGGAAGTGATTGCTGACCCAGATGCCGAAACATCGGAGGATCTGCTAATGAAGCAATTCATGAAGCAGGATCTAGATAAGGTGCTAGATACCTTAAACCCGAGAGAAAGCCAAGTGATCAGGTGGCGGTTTGGACTGGACGATGGAAGGATGAAAACATTGCAAGAGATAGGGGAGTTGATTGGAGTGAGCAGGGAGAGAATACGGCAAATCGAGTCGAGTGCCTTCCTGAAGCTAAAGAATAAGAAAAGGACCAAACAGTTGGAGCAGTATGTGGTTTCATGATTGTAGCAGTAGTAGTTTCATGTTCCATTTCTGTAGATACTTTGATAATTTTTTTTTTTTTTTTGCCATAGTTCTTATATACAACCAAAATTTATTTTTCCTTCATTTGGACATGCTGATAGAACAACCACACACGAAGAAATGGATGCAGAAGGACAAAAGCACCATTTTAGTACCTGCGAGAGGAAACAACCCAACTCTTTTGCCACCAATTACAGAACAGGAAGTGAAATGAAAGCATTGC